CCGACTCCCCGCAGGTCTATTTCATCCTATCACAGGACCCAGACCCGTACCCGCCTGATTTCACGGACTATATCAACTCTGTTGCCAGCAAAATTGGCGCGGAGACTACCTGGAGTATGTCGAACAGTGACGTTTACTCTAACTTTGCAGCCACGGGTGAGCCGACGTGCTCTGGCCTTCATGAACTCTGTTTGACTGTTGGATAGGCGATTGGATGAGGAATTCCAGACCAGACCTAGAGACCGTTATCAACGCCGGGGTACGTTTTCTTTGTGACCAGCGAGTGTCCTTTCCTCTAATAGGGTATCTCCTTAGGTTCGAACAATCATCTATGTCGGCGACGCTGTAGGTACACTAGCTCTCGACATGATACCTTGATCTACATCAATATCTAGGACTATATCTTGAACTTCAATGGGATAGAGGCTATGGTATGGACAGAACTTAGCAATCAAGACCTTGTTAATCCTTGCATCCTAGGTGGGCGCACTTGACACCAAATTCAGCGACATCCTGAAGGAAGAAGAACTGCAAGATTACACTGTCGACGGACAAGCGGCTGGTCTACACAAGAATGCTGGAACGTTTTCCTTTGTTCGAATATATGGTGCAGGACATGAAGTACCTGCTTATACTGTACGTCCGCTCTATCCGCTTATTGGTACTATTCTGACGCGAAGCAGCATGGAACACTTGCCTATGGTCAAGCTGCTTTCCAGATGTTCTCGCAGATCATGAACAACGAGTCTTTGTCTTCGACGTAGATACGAAGGTTAGACAAAGATGGCGATATTGCTATCAATGAAATAACCTGTACGACCATGGTACCATGCGTATATGTATAGTAAACAGTATTTTTGCATGTATCCCGGAAAGATGCATCAGATTGCAGATTAACCTACGACGACTAGTTCACCGGCAATAATAAACAAGGTGTAGTTACACAGTGGCTTACATCGCGCGCGATTTCCGTATAAATTATTATTTATAACATTACAGACATACGAAAGGATATTAACACAAGTGTAGTATCCGACAAACTTCAAAACAACACGATTACTTGTTCATCTCCTGCTCCGCCTTGGCCTTCTCGTTCTTGACGTTACCTGCGACGAATGGTCAGAGGGACGAACGAAATTTATAAGATTACACGTACCAGCCATCTCGTCGCTGGAGTTGCCGGTCACCGAGCCCATAACGGACTGACCGTATCCCATTACGCGGTCGGCGGTGGCCTTGGCGTAGCCTTGGACTTTGGCGGCGGTGGTCTCTGCTTCACCCTCGGCGTGCTCCTTCTTGCCATCGCGAGACATGGAGTCGGATCCAACGGCGTTACCGATCTAAGACCAACGTAAGCAAGCTGCTCGGGCAAGCGTTGGAGAAAACGCGTCGGCCCGACATACCGTCTCCTTCACGGTGCCCTTGGTAGACTGGTACTGGCCGTTGGCCTTGCTGCAACGACAATGACGGGTAAGCGACGCGTCGGACGCGCTCGACGGCGACGACGACGTACCTGGAGTCACCGGACATCATGTTGGAGATGGAGCTGGACATGGTGAAGAGCGAGTTTAAATTGAGTGAAGAGGATGGTTGTGGAAGTGGGAGAAAGAGAAGTGAGGAACTATAAACGCGAACTCGCCCTCCTTATATACCCTGGAGAGTTTGGTCCGTATCCTGGTCAAAATATGATCTGCGCTCGATCCCCTGGAGCGCACGCTTAATTTAGACATATATGATGTAGCCCCAACGTCATTTCGTCTGAGAACTAAAAATAGGTCACTCGCATAGTGGTTCGGAGCTGGCCGATCGTCCTTCGTCCTTGACGATTATGGGTGTGACAATTGCGTGAGGATATCGATTGAATCGGATTCTGTTGCCTCTGTCTCTGCGAAGATATCTATACTGAGTTTCCTTCTTTCTCATCAACACGCCGGACAATTGATTCAATATGGAATATCAATCAAAACGGACGAATGCTCACCCGTTCATGCCCCGCTTGATGCTAGGAACTTCAGTAAAGAATTATGGCATGTGTTATATCCCCCGGTTCAAGGAACCTCCAGGCCTGGTAGACCTTTTCTCTTCGGTATGTTTTGCGTTTAAAGATGGAATGTTGGATGTTTCTTTAGAATAGAAAACTCGGCTCCTTATTGATTCGGACTTTCCTACAGCTATTCCCACGCGAGACTGCATGGCCTGTTATATTCGTGGAAAGGAGGACGAGTGGGTCAAGCACACCCCATGATGCCGCTGCTTCTCTTTTTGTCTTCGACTTCGTCGCTTTCCTCGCTATTGACATGAGTAGACCGCTTCATCAGTCCATTTTCCGGGATCCCGATCAAGGCCGAAGACGGGAAGGAAAAGGGGTGTCATCAACTTCTTGAAGCATTCAGTCCCTGGTAGTCATATCTCTCGGTTTCATAGTGGGTGCAGCAAGACTTGTACTATATTAGGGTAGTCTACAGCCGAGAAATACCAGAGGTTGAACTCTATGAGAAGGGAAGATAAAAATACAGACGCGTGGCAATGAAAGTAGATAAAGAAATATGTAGTGAAAAGAGAGCGAATGGGCAATGTGGTATAGCGGTGTCATCCCAAGTCGAGGACGAATTACATATGTACATTTCGTGGAAGCTACAGCAATTAGTGGTATATAGCTGAATATAAACGTGATACAAGAGTCGTGTCTGACCATTCGATAGTGCAACGTGCATCCCTAGCATATCCCAGAACAATGAGGACTCATATAATACGATATATCGCAAAGCCCTGACCTATAGTTCCGACCTCCACAACAACTCGGGACCGATTTCCTCATCTATTCTGTATATCCCGTCCATGTACGTGATCACCGTCCTCTCAAATTCATGCACAAAAACCACCATGACTACCGTCGGGCAGTACAAGCGCAGCTCGCTCGCAAGCGCCCTAAACGCGGCCAGGGTCGACGGAACTGGTCGCCACCCAGACACCTCCACCTCGATACAGCCAAGCTTCGGAAGCCTCATGAGCATCCCATAAAATCGTAACCTCTTCATCGAACACAAACGTAACCGTCAAAAAACGAAAGATAAAGGGCTAAAGACGGCCTGACCTCTCGGCCAGCTATGGGCAAAGCTAGAGTGCCCAAGTATTGAAGACGATGCGCTGTCATGGACGTGCTCACGATGGTGCTGAGAAGCTCCACAGAGAACGACTCGGCATATGTCGAATCCGCTATATCCAATGAGCGGAGTTGTGCTGTAGACAATTGGATTTTAGTAAACAAATTCGTCATTTCGATTCTTTTCGCGTCGGGGTCTGAGCGTGAGAAACACGTTTTGAGACGTATAAGAGGGCGTCGAGGCGCCAGGGCCGCAGCAGCCTCGGTGAAAGTGCATTCTAGAGTGGCTAATTTCGGGAGCGAGTTGTCGGAGAGAGGAGAGGTGGTGGATGGTTGGGCAACGGGCTCGTCCACGAGAGAATCATTATAGTCTATGATGTACAGATCGTCGAGATCCCCTTGGGTCTCTAAAAATTTGACGAGGTGTGCGTCCCAGTCGAGATCACAATGGAAGCTTCGGAGATGAAATGGACAGTTGTCAAGAATCCAGGTGTTTGATGATGGAACACCATGACCGATATGAATATTGAGGTACCGTAGCCGTGAAAGCTTTCGGAATGCGAGAGAGATGGTCGTCCAATACTCTGGTGGAAGCGCTTCTTCATGTGGGACTTCCTCTTCCTCTTCCCCCTCTTCCTGACTTCCATTTTCTGAGGACGATCCTGCATGTAAAGTGAGAGCATCCACATATGCCGCGACGCGCGGTTGTTCCGAAAGAGTGGCACAGAGGAGCATCGTCGTCCCGACATCCTGCATGTATAGCGTGTTATAAAGTGCACGTTCCGCCGCGTACTGAAAACCTTTCGAGACCCTGCATAAAGCCGCTACATCAGCACGACTTCCAACATTTTTAACTATGTTGCGATAAGCCTCCAATGACAAGCACATGCACTGACGAGCATAACCTATCAAAGTACAATTTATCATCAGGTACTGAAAAAACGCGTGCAACTCACGGCCTCCCGGTGCGGGAGTGGACTTTGGAGTGAACGAGAGTCGAGTAAATTTCTGCGCAGTGTAGAGAAACAAAAACGCGACAGACTCAAGGACTGGAGCTGCCTGGCTGAGTCGGCCATCAATGGAACAACGAAGCACATGGCAAGAACTCACCCGGAATGAGCTGTAATGAAATTGTTATGAGGAGATAAAGAACGTAGGTGATTAGTCTCCGCGTTGTGGGACTGTGTTGTAATCGGAAATATAATCACCTCACGGCTATGATAGACCCTTCATTTATAGGGTCTATCACCGTGGAAAACAAAGCGGAGGCATTTCGGAACCTAGGGGGAGATCTCCGGGTACGCGTTTTTGGTTCCGTAAAATTCACATCTCTATCTGTGTTTTAATGAGCAGAGGCTAAGGCTCATGGGATATGTATCCCCTGCTGATGAAAATAGAAGACCATCAGGTACTAGTTACTCGACCACGCGAATGCCATGTGCGACCAAAATCGGCATCCTCGGTCTGGGTTCCTTAGCGACGACGACGACGAACAAGCATGTCGCCATTGTATCAGCTTTCCAAAGGTATCGGAGAGGATGCCGGCGCTTATAGAGAGGCAAACGTAGAGGGCTGGGCAGTGGAAGTGGGAAGATGCTTCCTGAAAAGCGTACGGTTACTCATGATCCGCAGGCATCCGGAGTGGACGTGAACAGTAGTCATGTCCGTACGCAACCTAAGCAGGACATTGGGATACGTACGTTCCCCAGCGTGACCAAAACTATGGAGTCAGAACTTCACAATCCCGGGAGAACTGGCGGCTACAGGCGCAAGAACCGGTGCACAAAAAGGCAGGGGCAGGCGGGACCATTGTCAGAAGCGCCACTTCTCGTACACAATCTCCCGGTCTCAATTTGCGTGCTTAAAAAGCGCTATAAGTTCCCAGATGTGTGCGAGAGTACGGCCAGCCAACATCTTCATCTATTATCGTCATAATGTCGACAAGCTCGATGAGAGAGAGGCTACGTACGATAAGGGACGCCTCTTGATCCGTTACAGCCACCACCAGGATTTTCCCACGGTCCACTAGCACCGCTCGAAGGGAACCGGGAAGGCGTTACGAGGATAGATACGCGTATATACTGCTTGTAATCTCTTACCTACCAGCAAGACAACAAACAAAACAATGTCCGTAACTCCGGAACCACCAGACAAGCTCGGAGACACGAGTTTCGAGATGACGAGATCAAAAACGATGGAAGCAAAACAGATGCACCTGAAGAAGTTGGAAGCAGCGGCGGAGGGCATAGTGAAGGACTACGGCAAAACAGTGGAGATAGAAGGTACTGCTGTGAGTGCCATATTCGATGTTATGGCTGTGCTACGGCACATGTGCAAGAACGAGATGAAACCAGCGAGGAACCTAACGGCGAAGCAACATCGCACCGTGGCCAATGCAGTCGACATCTTGGAAGCGTGGATGGACCTTGGGGAGTACAAGGCAGCCCAAGACGCGATGGCGCTTGCTAGCCTGATGAACGACAACTTTAAATCCTTACAGGTGACAGCAAATACACTCAAAACAACGGCAGAAACCCAGGATACTAGCGACAAAGCGGCCAACGAGCAGCTCCGAGAACTCAAGCAAAATGTCTCGTCTCTTCAGTCCATAGTGGAAGACCTCCGCAATACCAGGCCTCACCCCGCACCAGTCCCCACCCCAACCCAATCCCGATCCCAACCACAATCCGCCCCGCTCTCCTATGCCAACGCTACTGCCAAAGCCAACCCATTCACTGACCCACGCCATTCCGACGTCATTGCGAAGGCAAAGCTAGCAAACCGTCGCGTCATTGTTAAACCTACGACAGAAGACGCGATGGCGGCGATGGCCAGGTGCAGCGAAAAAGAGCTAGTAAAAGAAATCAACGACGCCCTATCCATAGCCACGACAATTACCGGCGACACACTCCATGTCATACCAGACGGCATCTCTGTTGTTGGGGCACGTAAACTCGCCAATGGTGGTGTAATTTACACTGTCAACTCTGACGAAGCTGCAGCCTGGCTACGAGAGCCTGCAGCCTTGGAAAACATAGCACAAGCAGCGGGCGACGGGACCAATGTCAGCCTACAGCTGAACAGCGTGATCGTGCCATTTGCGCCCACAACGATCGACATCGAAAACGAGGATACATGGCGCAACATCGAGACCAGCAGCGAACTTGCCACGGGGACGATACGCAGTGTGCGATTCCTCAAACCAGTAGAACACCACCAACAAGGACAACGAGAGGCACATCTCGTAGTAGGCTTCGACTCACGAGAACAGGCAAACAGAGCGATCCGAGCAGGAATAATCATAGAGGGCAAAGAGCTCCAGGCAAAGAAGGAGTTGCCGGATGCATCCAGGTGCGTAAAGTGTTCAGTATTACCTCGGGACCACGACGCAAAGACGTGCCCAAATGCCACAAAATGTGGGCGCTGTGCAGGTGGCCATGCGACGAGAGACTGCACAGTCACAGACCGCAAAAAGTTCTACTGTGTGAACTGTAAAGTCACAGGCCACGGTGCCGTTGACCGTAACTCTTGCCCCTCCTTTCTTAGAGCTACAGATGTTTTACGCAGTCGACATCCCGAATCCAAATATAAATATTTCATTACTGAGGATCCTGCTACGTGGATGACCAATGATGTACAAAAATGAGACGAAAATGCACGCCCACGCAAGGGAGCAGACAGAGACAGTACAGAACGAGTAGGCTCCCAAGGTGGTGCCACCGCAACGTCCTTGGGTAGTTTTATGGTTTCATCTCACCCTACACGAGGCCGAAAGGATGGGGGCAGCACAAAACAAACCAAGACCAAGAAACCGAACCCCAACTCGATGCCAATAGTAGGGCCCAACAAGTACCATCAACCGTCGCTCAATCAATTCCTGGCAAGGAGCCAACGGTCATCCAGCGAGGCATCAGCACGCAGAACATCATGGGCAGAGGACGTTGAGACACCCAACGAAGAGGTTGACAGCGGAACGAGAGTTGAACAAGCATCCCCAACACCGCCCATTGAACTATGAGTAACACACCCGATACTAACACTACAGATAACACAACAAGGCTCAATCTATACCAACTCAACGTCAACAAATCACTACTTGCGCACTCGAGCCTCCTACACCAGATCAAAAAGGAAGACGACATCATCATGATACAGGAGCCCTACATCAGCAAGCAAGGCAAGTCAAGAGCGACACAAGGATGGGTGACGGTGTACCCACCCAACCACGAAGGGGATCCCTCCCATACGAGAGCTCTGACCCTGATCAACCGATCCATCTCTACTAACGCATGGTCTAGCATTCCTCTGGCAACTCAAGATGCTGTAGCCATCGTCTTACGAACCCCTACGGAGTCGCTCATCATAGTGAACATATACAGCGATGGCGACTCCATAGAAACATGGGAGCTCATGGATGCCATGTTGACAAAATTCACAACACAGAGACGAGACGGAAGAGGGCTACCCTACCGCTTCATATGCGGAGGCGACTGGAATGCGCACCACCCACTATGGGATGAACCACGCAACTCACATTTATTCACAGAAGCAGCGCTAAGACGGGCCAACCGACTTCTACAGCTTGTTGGCCGTCATCATCTAAAGATGCCGCTCCCTGCATTCATACCAACACTTCGTGCCTTTTCTACAGGCAACTACACACGAACAGACAATGTATTCTGCTCCGATGAACTACTACCTGCATTCATCAAATGCACCATAGATCACGCAGCGCAACCACCACGAACAGACCATTTCCCCATCCTATCCACCATCGATATATCTCCCACACGCAGCGACTTTGAGCCTCGTAGAAACTTCCGCAAAGTTGAATGGCAGAAATTTTATGACACTCTCAAAACAAGACTCGATGCCCTCCCCCTCCCATGCGAAATTGAGGACAAAGAAGAAATGTACCAGACGCTAAATGACCTCGACAACATTGTACAAGAAGTCATTGACAAATACGTCCCTTGGACCAAGCCCAGCCCATATGCTAAACGCTGGTGGACGTCAGAACTGACGGTTCTACGTAAGCATCTATGCAGGGTGCAGAGAAAGGCGTATGGGTTCAGGATGTTCCCTGACCACCCGGTACATGAAGAACGGAAACAACTGCGCAACATCTATGCGGAGGCTATAGACAAGGCGAAGATGACCTGTTGGACAGAATGGTTGGAAAATACTGGAAGCAGGAGCATTTGGGAGGTATGCAGCTTCATATCACAACCATCATCAGACGGAGGGCGAGCAAGAGTACCAGACCTTGTTGTCAAGGCCCAAGGACAACCAACCCACAGAATACAGGAGAACGAAGAGAAGGGTAACGTATTTCGATCTGCCTTTTTCCCTCCCAAACCGCCTATATCAGCAGTACCAGATAATATCTGCTACCCGCCACCAGCATGGGAGTTCCAGCTGATTACAGATGAACAGATCGAGCGGGCATTCAGAAGAATGAAACCCCTCAAGGCTACTAAGCCGGGCACAGTACCAAACTGTGTGCTCTCCCGATGTGCTGACCTTCTTGCCCCACGTATAGGACCTGTATATCGGGCAACATTTACCCTTAAGGAATACCCTGAAACATTCAGTGCAACAAACACGATTATTCTGCGAAAACCGGGGAAGCCAGACTATGAGGACCCCAATGCCTATCGACCCATTATTCTGTCTGATGGTTGGGGCAGAGGCCTGCATGCAACTATGAACCAGGACCTCGTTGCTTGGTGCGAACTCACGGGACTACTCCCAGACAGGCACTTTGGGGGACGCCCGGGGCGTTGCACGACAGACTCCATTCACCTCCTGATCTCGACTATCAAAGACGCATGGCGCAAAGGAGAAGTCGTTACGGTTCTATTCCTTGACGTCAAAGGCGCATTCCCAAGTGTAGACGTTGACATGCTCGTGCATGAAATGCTAGCACTGGGCATTCCCGCTCCATACACGGAATGGCTACAGAGGAGACTCGAAGGGCGCAAAACCATCCTTACCTTTGATGATTTCAAATCTATCATCTTTGATATAGCTAACGGCTTAGATCAGGGCGACCCCCTCTCACAGATCCTCTATGTCATCTACAACTCAAGTGTGGTAAAACGGCTCAAGGAGGATGAAGAAGGATACCTATTCATTGACGATAAGGCCATCTTGGTACAAGGGAAAACATTCATAGAGACACACCAGAAGATCAAAGACGTAATGGAGAGAGAAGGGGGTATCCTCAAATGGGCGAAGGAACACAACTGCGAGTATGGGATAGCAAAGTTCCAGCTTGTTGACTTTACGCCAAAAACACGGGAGATAACTTCCCAACAAGGGAACGGCACCAAGCACCGAGAACCGGATATAGGATCACCAGTCCAGATTGGCCAGCACCTCATAGCACCAAAACCAGTTGCAAAGTTCCTCGGAGTCTACATCGATGCAGGACTGCGGTGGAAGGAGCAAGGCGCAGCTGCCATAAAGAAGGCTGATGACTGGATAATCCAATTCCGACGACTTGCACGCATGAGCTCAGGAGTCACCAGGGAGGGCATGCGGTTAACCTATATTTCCATTGCTATACCACGAATTCTATATGCTGCTGACGTGTTTCTAAACCCACAGAGAAGGATGAAAAAGAAGAGGAAAGACGGGAAAAGTAGCATCCGCACCGTGAATTGTCTGTCCTCCATACAGAGGAAGGCAGCCATTCTAATAACGGGAGGCATGCGCACAACAGCTGCGGATGTCCTGGATATACATGCTAACCTTCTCCCCATGCAAGGACAAGTGGAGGTATATCGCCACCGAGCGCTTGCACGCATGGCATGCCTACCCTCGGGACACCCACTATACAGACCCATACGCCGAGCAGCAAACAGATACGTTAGAAGACACCGATCCCCACTACATGAACTGACAAGAGACTTCGATATCCAACCAGACAGGACAGAGACGATCAAAGCGGTGCGGTTCCCACCGCAATGGAGATCAAAAATCAAGATTGAGATAGCGGAATCAATGGAGGAGGCAATGGCAATGGAGAGGATAGACAACAGCGAGGTAAAGGGATATGGAGACGGATCAGGTATACATGGCGGTATAGGAGCAGCAGCAGTGGTATTTCGTGATGGAAGAAGGGTGAAGACGCTGAGACTGAGAGTAGGATCAGCTCAGAAGCACGAGGTATATGACGGCGAGGGTCTGGCACTGGTCTTATGCACGGAACCACTCCGAAGCATGACAAACGTGCGAAGTGCAACATTCAGCATTGACAACACATCTGCTATTCAGGCAACAACTCTCTCACGACCAGCACCTTCCCATCACATCTTTGATCTATTCCACAAGCGCATTGACATGGTACTAAAGCGGCATCCCAGCATCTCCATCAAGATTCGATGGGTACCTGGACATCAAGGCATAGCAGGCAATGAAGCGGCAGATGAAGAAGCGAAGACAGCAGCCCGAGGCGATGTTAGTGAGCTGCAGAAACTCCCTGCGCCACTACGCAAACCAATCCCCTACAACAAATCATCGCTACTCCGAGTGTTCTACGCGAAGCAGAAACATCACGCTGACAGGGCCTGGAGAAAGTCGCCCCGCTACTCCAGGTTCCGACATATCGACTCAGCAACTGCTCAGCGAGCTGCAAGCAGGTATAGGAAGCTGGCCACTTCCATGCCACGCAAAATTACCAGCATAATGACGCAGTTACGGACTGGACACATCGGGCTCAACCGTCATCTCTTCAACATCCAACGAGTCGAATCCCCTGCATGCCCAAATTGCTCCTACCCGAATGAATCTGTCCACCACTACCTCATACGATGCCCAGCGTACCAGAATGAACGAGAAGTGCTACAGAGGTCTATAGGTGTCCGAGGATCAGCAATGACAATCAAGCACATTTTAGCGTGCCGAGAGAACATCCCCCACTTGATCCAGTACCTCAATGACACACGCCGCTTCGAGGCAACATTTGGGACCTTTCCTGACGTTGAAGTAGGCGAAGAAGACAAGGAAGACTAAAGCGTACAAAGAGATGGAACCAGCAAGTGCATAACGAAGAAGAGAAGGCGATAGATCTACCGCCTTACCACCCTGATGCCAAGGCAAACAGGAAGGCGGTCGCGATGTGGTTCGCACTGAGCTCAGAGAAGCTCGTTTGTTAACATGCATAGGAATGTAGAACAGAAAAATGGACGAGATATAGATAAGTAGCAATATCCCACCATACGCTAGCGTGTAGGATTACGGTACATCACATACCAACAGGATTCAAAAAAAAAAAAAAAAACGTACGATAAATTGACATGATGTCGTACAGCCTCAATTCAACGAGGAAAGAGCGCGCACGAGAGATAAAGCAGATTGACAATAGACAACAACTTCCATGTTCAGATTGGCAACAGACGTTTGGGTTGCTTCGGTCAGGAATAGAAACCGAGAGAGAGCTTGGACTATATTCATGCGGCAAAGGTTCGGAACCACTTCGACAAATGTCATCATCAGGTGAAGTAACTGAATTGAAGTACACCGAGTTCTCTTATTATCAACTCTGGGTTAGATGCCGTCGAAGACTAAAACATAACTGCATACCTGAGATTGCAAAGTCCAGACCCATGGTATCTTATTAATATACGGGGAGATACAGGCATACTAAGCACCACCGTGTGAGATCCTTACACCAACGATGACATTAGAATTGTTACTTACTGATACACTATTCTAGTTTTTCCAACTCCTCCAGCCTCGACAGCACGACGTCTTTGCTAGTCTCTTCGATCTCTCCAGCTAGGAATATCTCGTCAAGGATGGCGTACACCTGTGGATACTTAGGAATTGGACGTGAGTGAGTTACGGGCGGATACACACCTTGTAGAAATTGAACACGAGGTCGAGTTCGCACACATTATCAAAAAACGAATCTACAGAGTACTTTCAGTATCGTTGAGTGAGGCCATGCTGCGAGCCACGTACCAAGAACTTCGACAAAGAGGTGTATTGCCTCCAGATACGCGAGCTCATTATCATTGGCGTCTACACAGACACAGAAGAATAGTCCGGCATAACGGCGATAGACAATCTTGTAATTCCGGAACTATCAGAGGGCGTCTTAGTGCAGCTCAACACCAAGGGTAGCACCAAAAGCCTTACCTCTACGAAGTTCGATTGGTACTTCTGGTCTCGAGGTGCCACGAGCCTGTGGACGTCGCCGCGTAATCTAACCTAAACATTCATGTAGGGGGGGAGCACGCAAATCCATTCAAAGGTGACGAACGGACCTTTTCGTCGTCGTCATATGGGACATACCACTTCGACAAACGAGTCTTTCCTTGACGATTCTGGATGTGATGAGCGCAAGAAACGCTTTGCAAAAGCATGCATACCTGTACAAGAATGAACCTGATCATGGTGGTGAGACGGCAAGC